GCTCAGCGATTCTCTGCGCGATCAACCTCTCACATGTTTAAGCTTGCTGCGGGAGATTTCACTTGTCATGTTTGCGTAGTAAGCTAACGATTAATAAGACGATAATATCCTGACAGCACCTGTAGTCCACACGGGGCTCGGGAGCCTGAAAGGTGAGTATGTGAGTGTGAAAGGGAAGGAGACTGGCGTCCATGCCTACCTGGGTGTCCCATTTGCCAAACCACCCCTCGGCCCTTCCTTGAGACTGGCTCCACCTCAGCCTGCAGAAGAATGGGAAGGAGTAAGAGATGCCACTAAACAGCCACCAATGTAAGAAATGTGAACTTCAACATACTTGGAGGAATTATTGGCTTTATTTTTAAAATTAGCATTGTCTCTCTTTAAGGTGCATTCAATCTAAAGAAGCTGTTTTGGATATGCTTAATAAACTCGGTGCACTGCTGGAAGAAATACCAGACATCTCTGAAGACTGTCTTTACCTCAACATATACACTCCTGCAAACAGAGCTAATAATGCCAAGCTCCCAGTAAGAACCTTTAGCTGTAGGTTTTGACTGTTGCCTAATCACAGTCTCAATAAAGACACCATTCTTTAGAACTCAGTTGTTAATTGTATCATCTAAAATGTAAACTTGAGTGTTTTTGTTTGTTTAACATTTAAATTAGTTTTTGTTATTAGTTATTAGATTAGTTATTGTAACTGACACTCGAAATGGTCCTCTAAGCTTTGAAGAAATGGTATTTTGTTGTTCTGTCCAGGTCATGGTCTGGATTCATGGTGGGGGTTTTACGCTGGGATCAGCTTCAACATATGATGGCTCTCCCCTGGCTGCTTACCAGGATGTAGTTGTGGTTCTGATCCAGTATCGCTTGGGACTTCTGGGTTTTCTCAGGTAAATAAACTTCATCCACCCATAATCTCTCCAGCGTGTCCTGGCTCTGCCTCAGGGCCTTCTCTTAGTGGGACACTGGGAGCCCAGGACACCTTACCCAGGAGGCGTCCAGGAGGCATTCTAGTCAGATGCCTAAACCACCTTAACTTGCTCCTTTTGATGTGTACGAGTAGTGGCTCTATTCTGAGCCCCTCCCGAATGGCCGAACTCCTTACCATATCTTTTAGGGAGAGGCCATCCACCCTTGGGAGAAGGCTAGTTGTTGCAACACCAATCTGTCTGTCGATCTCCCACTTCCCTCTCCCCTTACTCGAGAACCCTCCCCAGCCCTGGCTCCAGGGTGGGAACCCTTGGAACCCTATCCCAAGCAGGGTAAATGGTCACTCGATGTTTTAATCATAGGAGGGTAAATGAACTCAAGTTTCCAAATTAGAACATACAATGAATTTGTTGTTCTGCTTTTTTATCTGATCTAATATGAAAAAGAATTGAAAGTTTGCTTTATTTATCATGTTGTATAAACATGCAAGAGCTTGGTTTTTGATTGCCTTACCGTATCACTCAGCTTCAACAAATATGTGGAAGTGGCATATGCAGCTACTGCCCAACTGCACAAATGGGGTCCAGTAGTATCAGAATCCTGGCACTACTATCTGCTGCCAATAGCGCTGGACTTTCTGTTAAATTTCAAGATCAACCTCAGGGTGAAATTGGCCACCTTCAGCACTACTTTATTCAATTTCACCTTGAAAGTTCTTGAAATCATTTTAGTGCTAATAGTCACAACTTTTTCTATTATTTATACACTGTCACTAAACTAAAAAAAACTCACGTTTTTTTCTAAAAAGATTCACGCACATCAATCCTAGATTAGTTCTAATACATGTTGTTGGAGTGATTTTGTTAAAAGTTGTCATTGTTGTGTTTAAAACTGTAAACCTTGTCGTGAACTGCATGTTCAGATATTTTTCTGTTCCTTCCCTACATGTTTGCTATTAGCAAACTGCAGGCACATTCCATGTAAAGGTTCTGGTTTCCTTATTTGGTAAGGAATGTTCACTTCCCAACCTTTAGGGGCTCACCTATGCTTGTATGTAGCCATATATGGGGAGGGGTCAGATGACCCTTTTATGACTAAAAATGCGGTTAAAACGGTTGTAACCAGGAAGTCACGTATACAAAGACGTATACACAAAGTGTTAGGAAGATTACTTTTAAAATGTATTCAACGACAGATTACAGAACACATGCCCCAAAAAATGTATTTTGTAACGTATTCCGTTACGTTACTCAGTGAGAGTAACGTATTCTGAATACTTTGGATTACTTAATATATTATCAAGCTTTTTACAACTACATGAATGTACTATTGCTGTGTGATTTATTACTATTACTGAAGGTTACTCACCATACCCATAGCAACTAGATTTTAAATCTTAATATAAAATGAGTAAACGTAGGGTGGACATTAGGTAAGGCTGCACTTTTTGCAGCGAGCTTGTGTAGAAAACTATTCTGCGCATATATAAAACAGGTTCGCGGCTCCGAACCGAACCGTCTGGCTAATATGTCGAGTTTCGTGTTGAGCTCGTAGCCGAAAACTAGTTTTACTTTGTTGTCTGGGTCAACTGGGCTCGTCAGGAACTCTTTTTGGCTGCAGTGGTTATTATTATATTTACTCTTCCAGCTCCTGTTTCTGCTCGGTGACAACTCATACTTTTCCACTCTCTTGTAATTTAAAAAAATATTTCCTCATGTCATTATGAGATGCGAGATTGAGACACAGGCATTTGAGCCTCTTAATGCGTGTTTTGTTTGGGTTTCCCCCGGCGTGGAATTACCAAAAATGGAGAGGGCATAGTCTAACATATGAAGCCGGAAAAGACCGCTGTGTAATCCCTTTATTTCAACAAAGTAACTGTATTCTAAATACCACCTTTTTAAACGGTAACTGTAACGGAATACAGTTACTCATATTTTGTATTTTAAATACGTAACGGCGGTACATGTATTACGTTACTCCCCCAACACTGCAGCCACATACTAACACATACACACACGTGCACTCACATGCTCACACGTGCATGCACACACACAGTGCCTCAGCTTTTACGACACATCATATGGGTTTTACAATGGGGGATTGTGTAACTGTGTTCACTAAATAAAAAGGCTGCAAGGGGAGGCTGGAATTTGGAGTTGTCTGGGATCAGGTGAGGAGCTTGAAGCTCTGGATCCTGACCGGACCAGCTACCCTTGCGCAAGTGAAAACCGATTGAGCTCTGGTTGTCTTGCTTTGTTCATTGAGATAAGTCTCTGAGCCAGCGAGGCTTGCGAGTGCAGACCTAACACATGTGTCCTCACAGATGCTTTAAACACATGGATAAAAGTCTCTTGTGAAAAGATGTTTCAATCAGGGAAAATACATTATAAAAATGGCAATTTGTTCTATCAGCACTGGAGATGAGCACATTTCAGGGAACTTTGGCCTGCTGGACCAGGTTGAAGCTCTCAAGTGGATCCAGCAGCACATTCACAACTTTGGAGGAGACCCAGGATTAGTTACCATATTTGGAGAGTCTGCTGGTGGAGTGAGCGTGTCTCTTCTGGTAAGAATCTACAGTTAGAGGAACTTTATTTAAACCTTTTCACTCTAGAACAAAAATTAATATGTGATGTGTTACTTGAATCACCAGCTCCTGTCACCACTGTCTGATGGGCTGTTTCACCGTGCTATTGCTGAGAGTGGCACAGCTGCAATGAATGTACTTGTTGCAAATAATCCTCTTCCAATTGCCAAGGTCTTTTTGGAGGCTTAATAACATTTCTGTTGCAGATTAATGAGTATATTGCAATTGAGTTCTTTTCCTAAATATTTGACATTTATATTTGACATTTCACCTCAGGCAGTTGCAAATGCATCTGGCTGCAGTCTTGAAAGCACAAAGAAGATCAGTGACTGCATGAGAAACCTTGATATTGATACTATAGTGGGTTTTACACAGGTGAGGTAATGGGTGAATACCTGATAGAAATAGCTGAATATGATTATTATGTCTTCTACAATATTTCTTTGAAGCCTTTGATTTCTCCCTCAGCTCTGTTCATGCTATCACATCTTTCACTTTAGTACATTTTATTTTCTCAAGGATCCAACATTAAGATTTCAAGTAAATGTTGATGGACATTTCCTGACTAAACCTGTGGATGAGCTGTTTCGTAAACATGAACTCCATGCTGTTCCATTCATGACTGGTGTCAATAATGATGAAGGTGGATGGATGCTTGCATCAGTAAGTGTCACAGGAACATGTAAATAAAAAAGCTCAATGATCTCAATGTAGTTTGTTGTTGTTTTGTAATGTTGAAAAAAAAAAAAGTAATTTGGCTTGGTATTTCCTTAGTTTTTTGCTCCCCAAAACTGGACAGAAGGACTAGATCGGGAATTTGTTTTGAACATGGTTTCCCTCTTCTACCCCGACGTAAGGCAGACACCACTTGATGTTACAATATTACTGTCCCCGACCTGCTCGAGCTTCTTTGATTGATGTGTTGCTTATTTCTTTAAGCCTAAAGCAGCATTTATCAGAGATGTGATAGCTGATGGATATATCGGAAATGGTGACGACCGTGTGAAAAACAGAGATGGGTACACTGAGATGCTTGGAGATTTGTTTTTCACCATTCCAGCGATCAAAGCTGCTAATGCTCACAGAGGTAATTTAATTTGTTTAATGAAAGATTATACAAATCTGCCTAAAACCCAGCACTTGATGTTTAGTGTGACACACTTTCATTAACAAATATCACACACATTCATCGAGTTCTAGATGCAGGTGCTCCTGTATACCTGTATGAGTACCAACATCCTCCCAAATTCCTGCAGCAGAAAAGACTGAGCTTTGTTGGGACTGACCACGGAGATGAAATTTTTATAGTTTTGGGATTTTGCTTCACAACTACCCATATTAGGTTACCCGGTAAGACTTTATAAAAACTCTGCCTTAGTGCTAGATCTGTTTTGTTTTGTTGATTGAAAAGTGTTTTGCAACATGATCGTTTTAGATCTGTGCCCTGAGGATGAAGAACAGTTGAGCAAGGTCATGATGAGCTACTGGGGGAACTTTGCTCGCACAGGGTAGGAATTTCCAACTGTTGTAAATTTCACACTTTTAATAACTGAATAACAAATGTATGTGTGTTTAGATCTCCTAATGGGCACAACCTTGTCCACTGGCCAAAGTATGGAGCAGAAGAAAAGTACCTGGCGATTGGTTTAAAAAAGCAGGTAACTGCTCAGCACCTGAAGAAGGAGCGCTTTGTCTTCCTGACTCAGACCGTCCCAGAGAAGATCAAACAGCATGAGGAAAATGCAGAACGCAGCGAGCTGTAGAAAACTCACATCTGGTCTCTGCTCCATCAATTTTAAAGTAATTACACTAAACCATAATTCCCTTATATAAAGGTCTTGTGAAGATTATCCATATTCTAATATACAATGAATATTTTGGCATTTTCTTTTAATGGAATCCCTGATTTTGTTTTTCAAAGAAAAAGATGTCATTCTTACATTTTCACAAAACTGTGAATAGACTGTCCAGTAGGATGAAAGTATTAACAATAACTGCCAATCTCAAGTCACCTGCGTGTTACCAGGGTATTTTAAATCTGGCACTGTAAAAATAGGTTTTGCAAAATGATAAAACATTTATAAAATGAAAAGATTTGACAAACCAATATTGCAGCACTTTGTTTGTCTGTGACCTTTGCTAGTCTGTACTGGTTTTGTTCTTAAGTCCTCTAACTATGTCATAAATCTCTTTCTCTTCCACTGCTCTTAAAAACATTGAGCTACTATTCCTTTCAATATTTTCATCAGTGTTCCTTTCTATTCCATCAACCTTTATTTCTTCTGCCAGTTTTGGCCCTATGTTTACGAAGAATTCATTAAAGCCATTTACTATCTCTTCCATGTTATTAATACTTCTTGTCCCTTCTATAAAGTACCCAGGATAATCATTATTCCTTGATTCATTTTTGATTATTCTGTTTAATACATTCCATATATCTCTTGTGTTATCTTTATTGTGTTCTAACCTTTTAATGTAATACTCTCTTTTACAGGATCTCATTATATTAGT